TTATTGGAAATTTGCATCATTGGGTTGAAAATAGTGTTTTTAATATTGTTGATTACACATGTCTTGGCTCACAGGCAATACAAAATAGGCAGTGGACAGGATTTGGCCTATGGGCCATAGTTCCAAACCAACTTCTGGTATAGAAAACATGGTTTCAATATTTAAGTGCCCTAGGGGGTTCTGGCTAAATTTACAAGGAGAGGAGAAAAATAAAGAGAGAAAGAAGCGTAAGTATTGGAAGAGATACATTGACATTTGCAACAATATGACCAAATACCTATAAAACCAACAGAATCCACAAAATATTGGAACTAATTTCATTATAACTATAAAAACTTCCATCGAAGTTGCTAGAGACATTAGCTTACAGAAATCAATAGTAAGTTATTGGTATATTTGGTATATATTGGTATATTTCTCTATACCAGCAAAAACTCATGATCATAACTAATGATTAGAAAAACAACCTTTTTCACAAAGATGGAGCCCAAAGTGAAGAAGGAAGCCCCTGCCCCTCCCAAAGCCAAAGCCAAAACAAAGGCTTTCAAGGCAAAGAAAGCAGTGCTGAAAGTGTCCACAGCCATAAAAGAGATCTGTATGTTACCTGCCTTCGATGGCCAAAGACACTGTGGCACTGAAGGCAGCCTAAATATCCTTGGAAAAGCACCCCCAGGAGAAACAAGCCAGAACACTATGCCATCATCAAGTCCCCCCTGACCACCAATGAAGAACATAGAAGACAACAGTACACTTGTGTTCATTGTGCATGTCAAGGCCAACAAGCACCAGTTCAAACAGGCCGTGAGGAAGCTCTGTGACATTGACATGTCCAAGGTCAACGCCCTGATCAGGCTAGATGGAGACAAGAGGCATACATTTGACTGTCTCCCAAATATTATGCGTTGGATGTTGTCAATAAAATTGGGATCATCTAAACTGAGCCCAGCTGGCTAATTCTAAATAGAAAAACGGTATACAGTAAAACAAACAAACTGATGAAAGTGATACCCTTGTAATAATCTGGTTATTATTTAACAGGAAAGGAGCAAAGGAAAGACTGGATAATATAGGCACTCCACTCTTCAAGTCTGTTCCCCACTGATCACTGGGGAAGGGACTGGACAATAGACACATTCCCAGTAACGTCTGAGTGAGGTGGAAAGGTGCTTACCTGCCTGTCAATCACACCTGGGAACAGGTAATGGGCCATAATAGGTGTGGCCACTGCAAGGGCTTGAAACCTGAATATTTAAACTTCTGCACAAAGGAAGTTTCCATTCATGGCTCTTGGACCTCTTGGGACTCCTGTTGCAGGGGGCGCACTTCCCTGCATTCCCCCACATGGCCCTGTGGACGCCACACAATGTGGATTCCACACAATGGACTAATGGATTTTAAATAATCTGATGCAGGACTGGACTCGGCTGCAGCATGAAACAGCAGCTCTGGACACTGGCCTTGCTTTGGCTTTGCTGAACTCCCAGCTGCATCTTTTTCAGGACTCAGTTAAGGGGCATGGGACTTTACAACTGAGGAATGTAACACCATGCCAGTAAAACCCATTCATTCTCCTGTGTGAATCTTAGAAAACTCTCTTTCAGAAGATATCACAAGAGCCACCCCACACCCACTAGGGTCGGGAAAAACGGACTCCCTAATTTCTCTGGTAACAAAAGTATATAGGAATTAGCAAACAAGAATACACAAGAAGACGACCAAGGAGAGAATTTTAAAACTCTGAGAAAGGACATAGATGATGATCTGAATACATTGACAGGCATGGGGCTCATTTGGGTTTGGTACTAGGAGGTCAGACTTCTGACCTCAAAAACTGTAGTATAATAAATTTGTGCTGTTTTAAGCCTAAATTTGTGGCGATTTGTTCCGGCACAAACAGGAAACTAGTACAGGACCCGTTTCTCCTGTCCAGCTGTATGCCAAGAATAGAGTGTCCTCACTGTATTTCCGATACACTGGTAGAGTTAACTCTTGAAGGAAGTGAGGCCTATATGATCTATTGAGTAATCCCAATTCACACCTGCCTGCATTGGGCCATTTTTCTGTGGCGTTCTTTACAATAGGCTTGTTTCCCACTCTTGACCCAACTCAGTTTGTTTTCAGACCCTAAGAATGTGTTGATGGGCAGTGTGGTAAGAGTAGGGACTAATGAAAAAATAACTTAGCATTTACATGTCATGGTGGAAAATCCCAATAGGACTTGGCTGTGACTTTGGCCCTCCAGTCCCTGAGAAAAGTGCCCCATAGAGCAGTAGTGTAGCTTCTGTTGATGGCTGATTCCACCATAACTTTTATCTTTTTTTCTCTTGAAAATAACCGCTCTGTTCTGTTTCTGATTTATAGACATATTCGCTCCTTGCTTTTTGTTGTTGATCCTCACCTGAGGATATTTTTCCATTGGTTTTTAGAGAAAGTGAAGGGGAAGGGGAGATACAGAGAGAAAGAAACATCAATTGGTTGCCTCCCAAATGCACCCTGACCAGGGCAGGGTATCAAACCTGCAACCCAGGTATGTGCCCTTGACTGGAATCAAACCTGGGACCCTTCACTCAATGGGCCAAACCAGCTAAGGCCACTCCTTGTTTTTGAGTGTCCTTAACACTTCATGCCTCATTTACAGAAAAAGTTTGGAACTGAGGGGTAGGTTTCAGAGTAAGTTTGATCCAGGAGCAGCTGAGGGTCTTTGTGTGCCTCCCTCTTGGCTGTAGTTTCCTGACATATGGCACTAGCTAGCCATCTCCCACCATCAAAGTGGTCCTCCTTGCATTGATTGTTATGGTTGTTAATGTTCTAAACATTTCCAAGGATCTGCTAGGCCATACCCTCTGGGCATTAGCTTTTCTTTCCTTTAAATAACATTTGAAAATGACAGGTCCCAGAATGACTGGTTGGCTTTCTTCACGGCCTTCTGCACATATCAGCAAACCAGGCCTAGTGTGTAATTCTGGAGAAATAAGCCTGAGCCTTACTTTTTCTTCTGACATGAAGGCAGAGTAAGATATGTGGAGTGTCATATCCCTTGAAAGCTTTCTGTCCTTAAGCTTATGTTCATAATGACTGAGTCATTCTTCCTGCATGGTAACTCCCTAGCCATGTTGCTCTGTTCCAGCACCCACATGCAACTTTGACAGTTTTTATCATCGGATGTCAGGAAAGGATTATAAGTGGAGGAAGAACCTTAACTTTCCTTTCTTCAAAGCCCAGAAGCTCCCCTTCAGAAGAGGTTAAAGCCATTTAGCTTCATTGATGATTCCTGACTGTACCAGTACAAATGGCTAAAGATCTCTATTGTTCACATTACCTGGCATCTCACTTAACACGCTCACAGTAGATAACAGCTCTGGTTGAAGGAGGTTTTTCGAGAGCATGAAAGAATGATGCTCTGTGCCACAGAATGCATGAGGTAGGGAAACTGGGATGTGGAGGTATGTCCTGAAACATGGTGAGCTAGGATCAGCCTCCGCAGCATCTGTCTCTCAGTACTCCCTTGAGAAAGAGAATTCTAGGATTGGGGGAAATTGTGAGGCAAGTCTCACAGTTTGCTTTATTGGATCACTAAGAAATAGGCCAATCAAAGGGGGAGCAGCATCACAGGGACAGAGACTGCTGGGGAGGGAAATTCTGAAATTCAGGAAGATTCTGAGAAGCTAGAGGACCATTATGGGTACAGAGTCAAGGACATTCCTTCATTCCCTTGCCATCAGCCCCATGTCTCTCTCACACACAAAGACAGCAAGACTGATCACATGACTGCAAGAATAATCATTTATTGATCAGGTACAGGAGGTCTTATTCATGGTAGAGTGCTGGGTATGGCAAATAGAGTCAGAAATTTGGAGGAAACCTTTGATTCTTGGTGAATTGTTGAGTCTGTCTAGACAATTAGAGAAGATCCTTTAGATTCAGAGATAAGGCCTTCTTGGATGATAGTGATGGAGATCAGGTTGCAGACCTTGTCACAGGCTGACACAGGGACCATGGAAATGAAGATCCCGGAATCGAGGTGAGGAAGCATTCACTCAGCACTAAATAAGCAGATGAGAGAGAACACAGAAACTCATTAAGCTCTTCCTGGGTTGAATTGAAGACAAAGAGAATTTTTATTACAGAGAAAAATGGTGAGAAAATAGGTATCAGTCTGTACTGCAACCTATGTTTCTTTCCAGAATAGGGGGAAGGAGGTCATTGAATCAATGGCTGGTTGTTGTTGTTTTTCTATTGCTTAACCTTTCCTGAGTTGAGTCTATGAGAAAGAGAGAGGAATAATCCATTAAGGACCCTAGGCTTGTTTCTGCCATTCTCAGCATTAAATGTTTTGAGGAATTTTTTGATAAATTGAGGAAGAATGGCAAACCATAGCTACCTTGTATTAAATGCTGACTTTATGCAGGCCATAGTTGCTAATATATTCCCATATATTATCTGGATAATGTAGAGAAGCTGGGATGTGGGATTGTCCTGAAACATGGTGAGCCAGTATCAGCCTCAGCAGCAATTGTCTCTCAGTATCTCCTTGAGAAAGAGAATTCTAGGATCAGGGCAAATCGGGGCAAAATAAAGCTAAGGTAGGAAACAGATGAAAGTCAGAGCCTATTTTTCAGATGAAAGACAATTGGAAGGTCAGAGAGCTCTGTTTCCAGATTAGAAGCTAAGGATGTGCAGAGATAAAGAGAGACAGTATTACCAAATATTGGAGGGTGAGACCACACATTTTGGCCTTGGAAGACGGAAATGTATTTGGGTTTCATGTTCACACCCTAGTATTCTTTTCCTATTGCAAATCCCAAGACTTAATCATTTTACTTTTAGGACTTTACTTTTACCAGCAGGATATCCACACAGTAATTCTGCAAGATACACATCATTGTTTTCCTTTTCATTGCATAGGTCATTTGCTCTACAGCTCATGGGACCCACGAACGCCAAATTTCAAGCTCATCCCACAAGCTTCCTTGCCCAACTATTGTTATTGTAATCTTTGGTCACAAACCCCTAATGGTGTTGGAAGACAATGGTCCCTGGGCTAACCCCTTTCCATCAGACATCACCAACCTGGAGGCCTGGGCATCATGGCTCCCTCGGGCCTGGAGACAGCGATCTGCAGAGACAGGCACAAACACCAACCCATTTATTTTTCAGCAGGAGATCAAATGATTTCCCAGGTCAGGACAGAGGGGCCTGATGCGAGGTGTTACCTTCTCTTGCATTTCTCCACCCAGTAACATGGGAATTTAGGAAGAGAAAACCAGAAATAACTAAACTTACCGACTTTGGTCAAGTCCAGTATGTTTTCCTTAGTAATTCCATTTTTTTTGCAAAGTTTTCTAAACCTTTCCTTGAGTTTTGGGCTCACATCTGGTTTTCGGGCTGTGGGAAGAGTGACAATAACTGCTGTGTCCTGTGTCTTGGTCATTGAGACTCTTGGGGGCAGATGACTGACACCAACTGGTGCTTAGGCAGAAGTCAGGGATGGGCTATCTCCTGTCTTGAATTTGACATTTTTAGGATACCCTTCTGGCATGATGAGAAATTTCATCATCTTTCCATCAGTGAGCCTGAAGGATTACCCAAGGTGAGCCCCTCTCTTCAGGGGAGGAGAGATGGCCCAGGATAAGATTGGAAGGATCATTTTGTCTCCTTTACCCTCTAAGTTGAATATCCACATAAAAATACTCTACCATAGAGCTCCATCACTTGGGCTTCTTCCTCATCCTTAACATTACTGACATAAAAAATAAGATAGTCACTATAGACAGCTTCAATTATGTGAAATGTATTGTATCCATCATCTGTGGGGAAAAGAGAACACAACTCAGAACTTCTTTAGTGCATAGAAAGCAAGTGAAATTCGTTACCTATTCTTTTTCACAGAGCAAATATAAGTGCATACCCTGGAAGAGATATAGAGTAAGAGCTAATGTCTGCCATTTGCATCTCCTTAGGCTTCATCTGGTGACTTCTAAGTGTAGAACTGACAAGCAGTAGTACATTGATTGCTAGTGGTAAAAAATTCAGCCATAGCTGCAACTTACCTTCTATGAAGCTCACCTAGCTCCCTCGGCCATCTCTGCCAACTATGTGTCTCTGTCCTGTCTATAAACCCACTGGCATTATATACACAGCACTCTATGTGAGCAATTTGCTGTTAGTGGCCACCAAAAATCAACAAAGTGGGCAGGGAATGAAAAGCTATCAGAAAAATTTCCTTTTTGTGTGTGCCTATTTTCTTTTGTTGTAGGTGGTGCGTATGACCAAATTGCTACCTTTTTCTGATGATATTATGTACCATATTTTGGCTTTTACACACCAGGTTCTCCCAAATTGAGGATATTGGCTATTAGATGGCCCCATTTACATTACCTAAATAAGCGTCAATCAAGAATTAATCAAGATACTAATGATATTGGGATTTAGTCAATTTCTTGCAATTGAAAGTAGAATTTATGAACACTTTTTAATGTATACTTACATTCAACACTATATACACCCTTTTCTTCTGTTTTGTCACAAATGAAAGAAATTTCAGTACACTCTCCATTGACCCTGTAAAACAGAATGAGCTGATGCCCAAGAGGTATTGATGGGTCTGGCTCCCGCACACTCCACCTGTGACTTGAGTATCTGATTCCAATTAACTGTAGAACATTTTGGTACAAATTTGAAACAGCTTTTATTTACCTTATTTCATTTATTTGCTACTTTAAGAAAGAGTCTACTACTGATGTCACTTTTACTGCGGCATGAGAGAACAAAGAATTTTCAGTAACCACCAGAGGCTCGCCCTGATGACAGCAACCAGTGCCCCACCTTGGTCTGGCGTCCCTGCTCACCTGTACCACCACCCCGCTACAGCCAAAGCCCACCATGTTTTGCGCTCTGCCGCTTGCTGCTGATGCCTGCCAAATTCCACACCTGACCCCTGGTGGTCAGTGCATGTCACAGCGACTGGTTGTTTGGTTGTTTGGCTGTTTGGTTTTTCCACCATTCAGACTACTTGAATATTAGGGTTTTATATATATACATAGCTACTTGCCTACATAATCAGTTGAGTTCTCAGATGTGCCACCTCTCAGATAAGTGCTCAATAAACATTGTTTCACAAAAAAGAAATCCATGAGAGAGAATTATTATCATCCTCTTTTACCCAAGGGAAAATTGGGGTGGATAGAGATAAAATTTCTACGTCACACAACTAGCCAGAGATAGCTAGGCTGTTGACCCCCAATCCTATGCACTTAACCTATGGTATTGCCACATTTCTTATGATTCTGATACCCCTCAATCTCTGAACTCCCCTACTCCCAATTAAACTTATTCCTGTCACCAATTCTTATCTCTGAATTCTCAGTTCATTATGTCATGGATCAGTGCCTGATAAATGACTCTGAATTTGGATACAAGCCCACAATGTGAGTGTACACATGAGTGTGTGTGTGTGTGTGTGTGTGTGTGTGTGTGTGTGTTTAGTGGTCCAACATCACAGTCAGGCTTTTGGGGTTTTTTTCCCAAGAAAAAATAAGCCATACTTACTTCATATGAAATTTAAATGACAGGGAAGAGTTGTCCAAGACTTGGATGGATTCCACAAAAACTCTCATGCTACCATTTTCTTCTATCATTTCCTTCATGTCTGAGGCCAAGAGAATGGAATACCACTCCCCTGAAATCTGCAAAAAACCATTAAAATGGGTAAGAAAAGAAGAGAAGGGATACCACATAAACATCTGTATTCTTGAACTCTGGCCTATGGGCCAGGACTCATAGTGGTGATGTGTGAAAGGGCGAGGGCTACGCCCTCCATCTTGCCCTGAATCCTCCATTTTTGGGCAGCAGCCAGGTGCTCAGCAAGAAGCTTCTTCCCAGAAGTATAATCAAGGGAAGTGCGTGCCATAGATAGGACCACATCCTGTGTAACGAGACACCGACTTGCGCCGGCCAATTGGCAGGGCCCACAGTCCTCTCTCCTCCCCTTACTCCAACCCCCCTATTAAACCCCTCTTCCCACGGGGCTCTCGTGCTCTCTCGGCAGCTTGCCGCTGCATCGGGAGTGTGGCTGACGGGGGTGGGGGGGGGGTGGGGGGGGGCAAACTAGTTTGAATAAAGACTCTATGCTTTTGCATCGGACTCGGCTGGCTCCCTGGTGGTCTATTGGGGATCTTGAAATCTGGGCATAACAATCCCAGGTCAGTTGACTCCACATGAAAGGCTCCTTCCACTGACCTCCAATGAGAATGGAGGTCCCCAAGTGTTATCATTTTCCCACATCTTACGACTGCTTTTTGTCCAAGATCAGAAACCACCCCCTTTGTCCAATATGTCAAAAGCCTCTTGCCCTCCAGTAGGGCCATCTTGCTTCAGAATCTCCCAAACCACCCCAAAGTCAGAAGACCCTATACTCCCCCAGCTCTACCTTTGACATATCGAAGTTGCTTGTCACAACATCATGGTTTCCTTCATGATGGGCACAGACCAGAGTCAGCCCCAGACACAGCAGCAGCAGCTTCATCTTGGGAGAGATGACACCAACTCAGCTACAGGCACTTGGAGTGAGTCTTTCCCTGATGGTGCCTCCACTCCCCAGATCCTCTGTCTTTATATTCATTCTGGGTCCAGTTTTTTGTCCACGGGGCAGCACCTTTTCTCCTCCCACTCCATGAATGGTCTGTATTCATTGATGTGAGGCCAAGATTGTTTCCTTCAATCTCATCTCTATTAGATCTACTTAGTGACCTGAAATTAATCAAAAGGAACACTCAAAAAAAATAGTGGATGTCATAAAAGGCTGCCTTTTGGATCCTGAGTTAACTGTGAAATCAGAAAGCCAGTTATGTGTGTCAGGAATGGAGTAGAACTGGGAAAGAGAATGTGTGGACAATCCATGTTCCACCATGTACACAGTGTGTGGAAACGGGTGAGTTACTCCATTTTAACTGGCCTCAGAAGCAAAGAAACTGTCTCTACTAAAGATGATAGGACCACCCTAGCTGGTTAGGCTCAATGGATAGAGCGTCAGCCTGCAGACTGAAGGGCCTGGGCTCGATTCCAGTCAAGGGCACGTGCCTTGGTGGCTGGCTTGACCCCCAGTAGGGGGCGTGCAGGAGGCAGCCAATCAATGATTCTCTCTCATCATTGATGTTTCTATCTCTCTCTCCCTCTCCCTTCTTCTCTGAAATCAATACAAATATATTTAAAAATAAACAAATAAAGGTGATAGGACCATCACAAAGCATTCCAGATTAGAATGGGATTGGATAAAATAATGTCTTGAAAGTATGGTGTCTGTCCTGAGCACATTTTAATTCCTTTTCCTTATTGTCTGAATTCAACCACGATGAATGAACAAATGTTTAATGACTCCGTATACCTCGCAATATACCATAGACCCCCAAGAGAAAGGGAGAAGTAGAAGTTGTCATCCCTTTCTTCAAGTAACTTTCAATGAAGGTGGGGAAATGCTTTACATACTCAAGAAAAACTTCATTCTACAAGTATGTGAACTAATCCAACAAAGTGGGACCACGTCCAGACCTCATGGGTCAGAGAAAGGGGTGATGCTGGGGCGGTGACATCATGTCGAAAGTGCTTACGAACATAGGCTTTGGAACCATGTACTGGGTTTCATTCCTATCTCTGTCATCTTGGAGCCAGGAGGACAAATTTAACCTCTCAGAGCCTTAGTGTCCTCTTGATGGGGATAATCGTACCTGTCGATAGATTGCTATGGGGATCCAATGGGATGGTGTGTGTAGAACCCTCAGACTAATGTCTGACACAGCTGGGCTGGTGGAATCAGAAAATTATTCCTGGGAAAGTGGGTTTTGGGCGAGGTCTAGAAGGTTAGGCAGGTGTGGAGATGTGGAGAGCATATGGGAAGGGGATTCTTGGTGAGAAGGATGTTGTGATTTAGGCTCCTGTGCCTGCTACTGGGTTTGGTTAAGAGCTATGGCTCATTCCTGGCTTGTGCTAATGGTTCCCTTTTGCATCCCCTAAAACAGAAAGAGGCCAGTGTCGTGGGAGGAGCTGTGCACAAAGCACTGAGCCACCTTCTGTGGCTTTCTATCTGTGGCCTACTTTCCAAAGTGATCCCTAGGCCATGCTTAACCAAAATCTAATCAAGCATATGAACTAACCCAACAAAGTAGGACCACGTTTCATTTTAATATTTTGATGTTCCTATAAATTTAGACACCATGTGTGAGCTGTAGACTGTCCTGCCCCTAAGATAGAGGAACTGAACTTGATGAATGGTGGCAAAGAGTGTGCACTTCATTTTGTCTAGTTGATTCTCTCCAAGAATAAATGGTATCCTGTGAGCAACCAGGTTTGCAAGATGAACTGGGCTACAAAGCTGAGGGAAGAGTCAGCTACGGTGCTGCCCCACCATCTGTATCCCATCCCTCCAACTTCCTAACTCTGTACCCACATCAGAGCCCCATATTGCAACTGTATGCTTCTGGGCACTGCCACTGTGTGCCCCAAGAGAAAACCAGAAATGAAGGCATATGCCACAGAATGTTTTCCCAGTCTTTTAGTTCTTTGTTTTTTAAAAAAATATTTTTGATTCCAGAGACGAAGGGAGATGGAGAGATAGAAACATCAATGATGAGAGAGACTCATTGATCGGCTGCCTCCTGCAGGCCCCACACTGGGGATTGAGACCTCAACCCAGGCATGTGTCCTTGACGAGAATAGAACCTGGGACCCTTCAGTCCGCAGGCTGACGCTCTATCTACTGAACCAAACCAGTTTCGGCCCTGCTGTTTTTAGAACTCAGGGATAATTCACACCAAGGAGTTTCTAGTTAATAGAAAGTTCCCTTCCTCTCTCCCCTTTGAACTCTTCATAATTTTTGCTCTAAGCATGTTTCAAACCTTGGGAAAAATACTGATAAGACACCTCCCTAGACATGTGCAGGATTGTCTCCTGTAAAACAAACAAAACACAATAACTTTTCAACACAGTTCCTAATGTCTGCTCAACTTCAGCCCCAAACTGCCCTCCCTTTCTTGTTGCTTATCAACAGCCTCTGCTTTAAAGAGCAGGCAGTCATTTGTTTGTTGCCCTGTATTGACTGGCAATACTTGGACCTTTCCCTTTGTGGAAAGTAAAATAAACTTCCTATCTATATCAATCTCTCCTCTCAATTGTGAATTCTTTCACAGCCTGTGTCACCGGCCAAACCCTACCAAACGGGTCCTCACAGTCAGTGTAGCTTCCCAGGACTTCTGCCCTGGCCAGGCTCTCCTCATCAAGCTGACTCTCCAGTCCTCTGTCTTTCCTTACCAATGGGTCAGCCAGCAATCGTCTATTATTCTAATCACCAAACAGAGCCATCATACATGTCTTGTAAGCAACAGAACAATGTTTCAGAAAAGCTAACTTTTAAGAACAACCAACCGTTGGTGTCTTCATGGGCAGGAACAGACAGTTCCAACTAAAGTCTGTCCTGGGACCAGAGACTCAGATGACAAAGTCCACTCAGCTGGGACAGGAGACCTGGAGTCTTCATTGTTGCTCTTGGAACCCCAAATAACCTCAGGGTGTCCTGATTTGACACTGACTCTGGAAGTTTATTTGGCATTTATCTGCATTTCCTCCTTTCAGCTTTAAGTCATTCAAGGGAAGCAGTAAGAGGACAACTTAAAAATATCTCCTGGATCCCATGATTAGATAATTTAATGGCCATTTTATTGAAGGCACTCTGAGGGGTTTGTTTGGACAAAATTGTGCATTTGGGGGGTCAGTGCATAACGGATAACTATAGCAAATAGCAGTCAGGGGAGAGGCCATGGTACAGAGAAAAGCCAGAAAACATTTTCTCTAAAGGGCAGGATAGGACACATTTTAGGTCTTGCAGACCAAGAGGCAAAATTAAAGATATTGTATACATACTAATATAATAATAGAGAAAACACGTGTCCACATTTTAAATAAAATTTTAAATTAAATATTGAGTATAATTTGTTTTGAAAATACAAATCTATTAGTGAGAGGAATGAATTCTTTTTTGAAATACAATTTTTGGAAATCTGCTTCATTGGGCTTGAAAACAGTGTTCCTAATATTGCATTGATTGCAAATGTCTTGACTCACAGGCAATACAAAAACAGGCAGCGGGCAGGATTTGGCCTATGGGCCATAGTTCCATATTAACATCTGGCATAGAAAACATGGTTTCATTATTAAGTATCCTAGGAGGCTCTGGCTAAAATTACAAGAGGAGGGGAAAAAGAGAGAGAAAGAAGCATAAGTATTAGAAGAGATACGTTGACATTTGCAACAATATGACCAAATACCTATAAAACCAACAGAATCCACAAAGTATTGGAACTAATTTCTTTATAACTATAAAAAATTTCATCAAGGTTGCTAGAGGCATTAACTTACAAAAACCAATAGCATTTCTCTATACCAGCAAAAACTTATGATAATCACTAATTGTTAAAAAACAAACAGCCTTTTCATGAAGATGAAACCCAAAGTGAAGAAGGACGCCCCTGCATTTCCCAAAACCAAAGAAAGGCTTTGAAGGCAAAGAAAGCAATGGCGAAAGGCATCCAAAGCCACAAAATAAAGAAGATCTGCACCTTGCCCACCTTTGATGGCCAAGACACTGTTGCTCCAAAGGCAGCCTAAATATCCTCAGAAGAGCGCCCCCAGGAGAACCAAACTGACCGCTATGCTATCATCAAGTTCGCCCTGACTACTAACTCAGCCATGAAGAAGATAGAAGACAACAATACACTTGTGTTCTTTGTGGATGTCAAGGTCAACAAGCATTAGGTCAAACAGGCTGTGAAGACGCTCTAGGACATTGAGTGTCCAAATTCAACACCCTGATCAGGACTGATGGAGAGAAGAGTCATACGTTCGACTGTCTCCTGACTATGATACTTTGGATGTTGCCAACAAAATTGGGACAATCTAAACCAAGTCCAACTGGCTAATTCTAATATAAAAATTATCCTATATAATAAAAGCCTAATATGCTAAGTGTCTGACCACTCATTCGACCGTTCAACCAGTTGCTATGATGTTCACTGATCTCCAGGGGCCAGACGCTTCGACTGGTAGGTTAGCTTGCTGCTAGGGTCCAGCTGATCAGGACTGGGTGAGATGGGCCAGACAGGCCCTGGAGCCCTCCCGAGGTCCCTCCCCGGCTCCGGTCATACACTCATGGGGTCCCTAGGTATGGCCTGCGCCCTCTCGCAATCTGGGACCCCTTGACGGATATCATTGAGCCAGTTTTGGCCTGATCCCTGCAGGCCAAGCCAAGGGACCCAACTGGTGCACGAATCCATGCACTGGGCCTCTAGTATACTATAAAACAAACAAGGAGACTGGTGAAAGTATGTAGGAATTAACAACCAAGAATACACAAGAAGACAACCAAGGAGAGAATTTTAAAACTCTAAGAAAGGACATAGAAGATGATCTGAATACATTGACAGACATGGGGCTCATATGGCTTTGGTCCAGTGCGCTATATGTCAGACTTCTGACTTCCAAAACTGTAGTATAGTAAACTTTCACTGTTTCAACTTACCAAGTTTGTGGTGATTTGTTGCAGCACTAACAGGAAACTAGTACAGGACCCATTTCTCCTGTCCAGCTGTATGCCAAAAATAGTGTGTCCTCACTGTATTTCTGATACACTTGCAGAGTTAACTCTTGAAGGAAGTGTAGCCTATATGATTTACTGAGTAATCCTAATTCACACCTGCCTACATTGGGGATATTATTCTGTGGTGCTCTTTGCAGAGGTTTATTTCTCTTTCGTGAACCAATTTGCTTTCAGACCATAAGAATGCATTGAGGACAGTGTGGTGAGAGTAAGGGTGATACGGAACTAATGAAAAAACAACTTAGCATTTAAATGTCATGGTGGAAAATCCCCAATGCACAAAGTGCACCAAGAAGCAGTAGCATAGCTCCTATTGCTGGCTGATTCCACCATAACTTTCATTTGACCCCTGATTTTATTAGATATGCTATAAAATGAAAATATAGGTTTGAAAAGTCAACGTCTTTCTCTCTGTTAAAATGATCACTGATTTGCATTGGCATGAGCAATACTGTGGAACAGGAGGTGCCAGCGATCATGTCCCCATATAAACACCTATTTTAACAACCACTCATGGGTGAGGATACCTTCATGGGAGTCCAGAAGTACAGCTCAGAGGTTCCAGCACCCAGGTGAAGCAAAACAATTCAGGACATTAATGCACTGAAGAAGATTAGAAGGACAGTTTCCCTTTGCCTGTTTCACCCTCTCCCAAGGTGGCACAGCATTGGCATCTCTGGGAGCTTGTTAGAATGCAGAATCTCAGGCCCACCGAGACCTGCTAAGGCAGAGCTTGCCATTTATCAAGATTCCCCAGGTGATTTGGATGCACATTCTGAAGAGCACTGCATTCTCACACATACAGAAATCCACAAGTAATATATGGCACTATTCGGAGTCTTATTTATGATTTATGTGAGTGATGTCATACTGTACATATCTATCCTACAACTATTAGTTTTTGAGACATAACAATGCTAATATAGTACATTCCCTTTAAGTTGCTAAAGAAAATTCACATTCATGTTGCTGATAATGAAATCTGTTAGGAAATCCACCTATCAGTGACACTGACATAGTGCAATCAGGTTCAAAGGGAGATGGCTAGAGAGTCGCAATGTTCTCCACCTTTAATAATGCACCCATTTATTTATTAGGGGCATTATGGCCACTGGGGAGGATGTTCTTCCCAAGGAAAAGCAATTACTGTTTATGGCTTTAAGACCAAATGTTACATACCCAGGAGAAATCAATGTTTTTAAAGTCCTGATGTGTCAATGTCAATGAGAAGGCTCAAAGCAAATTTGACCAACCAGGGTACTATTACATTAACAGGATGTCTGTACAGAATTGGAAGGCTCATTCATCCCAACATGGAATGAGCTTTATATTCTTAATATATTTAGGGAAGCTAGCAGTAAGCATCTCCAGGATTTGATTTTTATAAGGCATAAATTGCTGTATGTTTCAGAGGCCCATTACTGGACCTAGATCTTCATGAACAAAGAAATGTCTGGCTTTCTCATGAGTTTGATTAGCCAAAGCTTATTAACAAGAATATGGGATATGGCAGAGATTATTAGCTGAAGTGATTGATGGAACCTAAAATATGTGGCTAGTTTACTGGAGGAAGGCCAGTGTTGGGCATCACGGATAAAGCTATCACAGCCTGGAAGCTGGGAAGTGTCATTCCATGCTGGGAAAACATTAGGTCACATGGTTGTCTGCTATACCTTGGGAAAGAGACAGTGTGCTGACACAGGCTGTAGAACCTGGAGAAGCAGAAAAAAAGATTCAGGATGTTGGAATACTGGTTCTGTGTCCATGACTTCTTGAAGCTTTCAGAAAAAGTTATGAGAGGGTAGGGCACATGCTACAGTCAGTTAGGCTGCAAGTAGAGAGAGGAGATAGCACAGCTTTGCTAAGGGATGCTCCTCTGCCTGAAGCCGGCCTCCAAGTTGAATGAGGGTCTCTTACCCCAAAGTGAGGCAGTTGCAGACGGTGTCTGTGAAGTGGAAGTCTACTCTCAGAGGAGATAATGCTGCTGCCTTGAACGGTTGCATGCCTCCTGGCAAAGAAGGGGTTAAAGGCCCATTCCACCAAAGCCATTGTTTTAGGTGGCCTCCGTTAAGTTACGAAAAGCAGATGGGGTAAGTAGGGCATAAAGGTCAGTGAAATAAGCCAATCAATGAAGGAAAAATACCACATGATCTCACTCATTCATGGATAATAGAGACCATTATAAACTTTGAACAGTAATAGATACAGAGGCAGAGCTGCCTCAAACAGATTGTCAAACTGCAGCGGGAAGGCCGGGGAAAGTTGGGGGGCAGGAGGGAGGGATATAAGAGATCAACCGAAGGACTTATATGCATGCATATATGCATAACCAATGGACATGGGACGCTGGGGGGTGGGGGAGGCCAGGGGATAGTCAAGGGCGGGGGGAAAAAAAGGCACATATGTAATACCCTTTGTAATACTTTAAGCAATTAAAAAAATAAATAAATAAAAGAAAAGAAAATACAATTTGGGGGGCTAACTCTATAACTAGTAAGAATTTTGGTGCCTGGTTATCTGTACACAGAGAAGTCAAGCGACAAATGTACCAGAAGTCTGCTAAGTTTTTTAGGAATTTGCACTGCTAAAGGAATTTAGGTCTGGCCTATAGCAAAGCGATGTGACTCCTTAATCTTCAAAATAATCTCTCTGAGCCTGCACAAGCAGAGGGTGGGTGTACCTGAGGGGGATATGGAAAAGGGATAACCTCCCAGAACCAAGGCTCAGAGGACAGTGGACATAAGACCATGCTTCCAGCACATTCTCTGATCCCTTACTTCTTGAAACTCAGCTTTAGCCACACACATGAGGACAATGCCCTAGGGTGACATGAGAAACCGGCTAGAAAGAACTGGGTTCCTGAATGACTGTGTGGAATAGAGTTGCCAACTTGGAATGCTCTCTTCTGATTGTGCTTGGGATAGTCAAATTAATTCTACCTTCATTAAACCATACTAAATTACTATTGGGTCTCTCTCTAATTCTCTCTCTCTCTCTTTCTCTCTCTCTCTCTCTCTCTCTCTCTCTCATCATTTTTAAAATCAGCCTAGCTAGATAAACTAATGAATGTTCACACAGAGATATTTATCATTCCCTACTAAGCTGGTTTCTCCACTTGACTGGAGTAAATGGCAATTCCATCCTCCCCCTGCTTAGGCCAAAATCCTTGGAGGCACCCTGTGTCCTAGCCCCAAAGAATGCAAAGCATTAAACCAGGTCCTGAATTTGTGATTCAATTTGGTGCTTCCCAGAATTTCAGGGGGCACATGCATGGAGTGAACCCGGGGTCTAGTCCTAGAAAGGTTAATTCTCATCAAAAAAGACCACCAGGGACATACTTGTAGTTGAAAAGTTTGGGTTTATTGCAGCTATGCAGTATGCTCACCATGAGGAACCGTGGGTGACTCAGTCAGAACGTGTTAGAAAGAATCTACTACAGGATTTGGGGGAGATCTAAGGAAGCTCTAGTTTAGGGGTTGTCAGAAGTCAGCGGTATGTCTATGATTGAGTACATCCATAAATCTTATCTACAGGAAGTGAAGATAAGCATGAATATAAAGCTATACTGGTACTTGATAAAGAATCAGCAGTCACTCATTTTAGTTGAGAGAGAGACATGATTTTGGATTGCATGATAATCTGGCTTAAATGATCTCAGAGTGACCTTGTTTGGTGATGATGTTTTATGAGATTGTTTATGTACAACAGAACAACTGGGCCTACCTGTCATTAAGCTTATGTTCATAATGACTGAGATATATTTCGTGAATGACAACACACCCTCATGTAGCTCTGTTCCAGCACAAATGTGCCATTTTGACACTGTTTTTATCATCAGATGTAAGAAAAGGATTATAAGTGGAGGAAGAACCTTAACTTTCCTTTCTCCGAAGCCCATAAGCTCCCCTGAAAAGAGGTTAAGACCCTTCAGACTCCTTAGTGATTCTTGACTGTACCAAGTACAGATGGCTAAAGATCTCTATTGCACACATTTCATGGCACCTCGCTTAACATGCTCACAGTAGATAACAGCTCGGGCTGAAGGAGGTTTTCTGAGAGCATGAAAGGATGCTGACTGTGTATAGAATGGATGATGTAGGGAAGCTGGGATGTGGAGGTTTGTCCTGAAACTTGGTGAGCCCAGATCAGCCTCAGTAGCAACTGTCTCTCAGTACTCCCTTGAGAAAGAGAATGCTGGGATCAGGCCAAATTGTAGGGCAAGTCTCACAGTTTGTTTTATCAGATTACTGAGAAATAGGCCAATCAAAAGGCAAGCAGCATCACCGGGACAGAGATTGACTGCTGGGGAGGGAGAATCCTGAAATTCAGGAAGATTCTGAGAAGCTAGAGGACCATTATGGGTACAGGGCCATGAAGTCCCCTCATTCCCTTGCCATCAACCCCATGTCTCTCTCACACACAAAGGTAATCACATGACTTCACGACTAATCATTTATTGATCAGGTTCAGGTCTTATTCATGGTAGAGTTCTGGGTATGGCAAACAGAGTCAGAAATTTGGAGGAAACCTTTGATTCTTGGTGAATTGTTGAGTCTGTCTAGACAATTAGAGAAGATCCTTTAGATTCAGAGATAAGGCCTTCTTGGATGATAGTGATGGAGATCAGGTTGCAGACCTTGTCACAGGCTGACACAGGGACCATGGAATGAAGATCCTGGAACCCAGGTCAGGAAGCATTCACTCAGCACTAAATAAGCAGATGAGAGAGAACACAGAACTCATTAAGCTCTTCCTGGGTTGAATTGAAGACAAAGAGAATTTTTATTACAGAGAAAAATGGTGAGAAAATAGGTATCAGTCTGTACTGCAACCTATGTTTCTTTCCAGAATAGGGGGAAGGAGGTCACTGAATCAATGGTTGGTTGTTGTTGTTTTTCTATTGCTTAACCTTTCCTGAGCTGAGTCTATGAGAAAGAGAGAGAAATAATCCATTAAGGACCCTAGGCTGCTTTCTGCCATTCTCAGCATTAAATGTTTTGAAGGGATTTTTGATAAATTCAGAAAGGATGGCAAAAACCATAGCTACCTTGTATTAAATGCTGACTTTATGCAGGCCATAGTTGCTAGGAAATTCCCATGTATTATCTGAATAAAGCCCCACAATAAAGCTAAAGTAGGAAGCAGATGAGCAAAAATAGAGCCTGTTTTCTAGGTAAAAGGCAACTGGAAGGTCAGACAGCTCTATTTACAAATCAGAAGTTAAGGATATGCAGAGATAAAAGGAAAACAATATTACCAAAGATTGGACCACACGTTTTGGCCTTGGAAGATGGACAAAAGACAGAAATGCATTTGACTTCCATACTCACAGCCTAGTATTCTTTTCCTATTTCAAATTTCAAGTCATAATGGTTTTTAGGACTTTATCAATTACTGAGACCTTTTCACCAGCAGGGTATCCACACAGTAACTCTGCAAGGTACATGTCACTGTTTTCCTTGTAATTGCTTAGGTCATTTGCTCTACAGCTCATGGAATGAGTGGGTCCTGAACCCAGGACCCCCAATTCCAAATTTCAAGCTCATTCCACAAACTTTCTTACCTAATTATTTGTATTATAATCTTTTTTTTTTTTTAATCCTGAATGAAGGACCCTAGACTGGTTTCTGAGGATATTTTTCCATTGAATTTTAGAGAGAGTGGAAGGGGCAGAGAGAGACATAGAGAGAGAAACATCGATGTGAGAGACATACATGGATTGGTTGCCTTCCCACTCACGCCAACCAGGGCCGGGGATCAAGCCTGTAACTGAGGTACATGCCCTTGACTGGAATCGAACCTGGGACCCTTCAATTCTCAAGCTGATGCTCTACCCAAGGAGCGAAACTAGGGCTATCTTTGGACACAAACCCCTAATGGTGTTGGAAGACAATGGTCCCTGGGCTAACCCCTCTCCATCAGACATCACCAACCTGGAGTCCTGGGCCTCATGGCTCCCTCGGGCCTGGAGACAGCGATCTGCAGAGATAGGCACAGTCAAACACCAACCCATTTATTTCTCAGCAAGACATCAAATAATTTCCCAGGTCAAGACAGAGGGGACTGATTGGAGGTGTTACCTTCTCTTGCATTTCTCCACCCAGTAACATGGGAATTTAGGAAGAGAAAACCAGAAATAACTAAACTTACCAACTTTGGTTGCATCCAGTATGTTTTCCTCAGCAATTTGATATTTTTTGCAAAGTTCCTCAAACCTTTCCTTGAGTTTTGGGCTCACATCTGGTTTTCGGGCTGTGGGAAGAGTGACAATAACTACTGTGTCTTGTGTCTTGGTCATTGAGGCTCTGGGGGAAATGGACGGGCAGATGGATGGCACCAATTGGTGCTTAGGCAGAAGTTAGGGGTGAACTATATAACCTATCTTGAATTTGACATTTTTAGGATATCCTTTGGGCATGATGAAAATTTCATTATCTTCCCCTCAGTGAGCCTGAGGGATCACCCAAGGTGAGCACCACTCTTCAGAGGAGGAAAGAAATCCCAGGATATGATTGGGAGGACTACTTTGTTCAGGTTTCCTTTCTCCACCAGTCTCCCCACCCCAAAATGAGAATAAATATACTCTACCTAAGAGTATCAGCATCTCAAACGTTTGCTTATTGTTGAAATTAATGAGATGAAAAATAATATAGTCATTATAGACCACCTCAACTATGCGAAATGTAACAAATCCAGCATCTGTAGAGAAAACAGAACACAGCTCAGAACTTCTTTGGTCCATGGGAAACAAGTTAAACTCTACCTATTCTCTTACACAGAGCAAATTCAAGTGCATATCCTGGAAGAGATAGAGAGTGATATCTAAGGTCTTTCATTGGTATCTCTCTGAGCTTCATATGGCAACTTCTAAGGGTAGAATCGACTACTAGTAGAAATTCCACCGCTTGTCATTGACCACTAGTGGTCGAAAAATTCAGCCACAGCAGCCACTTCCTCTCTATCATCCTCCCTGAGGCTCTCATTTCTCCCTCAGCCATCTCTGTCAACTATGTGTCTCTGTTCTGTCTATAAGCCCACTGGATTATATACCCAATACTCTATGTGGGCAACGTGCTGTGGCAACGGACACCAGAAACAATCAGAAAGTGGGCAGAGAATGAGTAGCTGTCCTGACAATGTATGTGTTTTGTTCATTTGTTTGTTTTTTCCCACTTTCTTTGTTGCAAGTGGTACAAATGACCAAATTGCCATCGTATTCTGATGGTATTGTGTGCTAGGTATTGGCTTTTACACACAAAGTTTTCCCAAATTGAGGATATTGTCTATTAGATGGCCTCATTTGCATTATCTAAATATGCATTGATCAGGAATTGTTGAAGACCCTAAGAATGTGGGGGTTTAGTCAATTTCTTACAGTTGGAAGTAGAATTTACAAAAACATTTTTGTATACTTACAGATAACATTATATACACCATTCTCATTTGCTTGGGTACAAAACAAAGAAATTTCAGTGCACTCTCCATTGACCCTGTAAAATAGAATGAGCTGTTGCCCAAGAGATATTGATGGGTCTGGCTCCCTCACACTCCACCTGCTACTTGAGTGTCTGATTCCAATTAACTGTAGAACATTTTTGGTAAAATTTGAAACAGCTTTTATTTACCTTATTTCACTTTACAGTGGGGCCTTGACTTACGAGTGTCCTGACTAATGAGATTTTTCGAGATATGAGCCGTCTCTCGGCCGATTTTGTGCTTTGAGTTGCGAGCTAAAATTCGGGTTCCGTATGAGCCAGCTTCAGATACCCCACCGCTAGTTGGCGCAGCAAACGTCACAGTGATTTGACATACGAGTAATTTGTGTTACAAGCTCCATCACGGAACGAATTAAGCTCGTAAGTCAAGGCCCCACTGTATTTGCTACTTTAAAAATGAGTCAACTACTGATATCATTATTACTCTACCACCACTTCACACTATTATTATTACCGTAGCTACTTGCCTAGATAATCAGTTGAGTTATCAGATGTGCCAGCCTCTCAGATAAGTGCTCAATAAACATTGTTTCACAAAAAAGAAATCCATGAAAGAGAATTATTATCATTCTCTTTTACCCAATGGAAAATTGGGGTGAAAAGAGATAATACTTCTTGGCCACACAACTACTAAAAGATCATTTCAGGAAATAGCTAAGCTGTTGACCCCCAATCCTATGCACCTAAGCTATGCTATATTGCCACCCTTCTTATGATTCTGATACTCCTCAATCTCTGAACTCCTCTACTCCTATTTAAATTTATTCCTGTCACCAATTCTTATCTCTGAATCTAGAAAACAGGTAAATTCCTTCATCAGTGCCAAATGTGTGACTCTGGTTTTGAATACAGGCCCACAATGTTGTGTATACGTGCATGAGTGAGTGAGTGAGTGTGTGTGTGTGTGTGTGTGTGTGTGTGTGTGTGTGTGTGTTTAATGGTCCAAGACCTATTCAGGCTTCTGTTTTCCCTTTCCCAAGTAAAAAAGGCTACACTTACTTTACATGAAATTTCAGTGTCAAAGAGTTGTCGTCCCCGGCTTGGATGGATTCCATAAAACTCCTCATGACACTATTATCTTCTATCCTTTCTTTGTCATCTGAGGCCAAGAGAATGGTATACCACCCCCCTGAAATCTGCAATAAATCAGTAAAGTATTGTGTTAGTAAAGAAGAGGGAGACACCACATAAACAACTGTATCCTTGAACTCTGGCTCATGGGCCTGGACTCACAGTGGTGATATGGAGGTGGAATTAGAACCCAGGTCAATTGACTCCACATGAAAGGCTCTTTCCACTGTCCTCCAATGAGAATGGAGGTCTCCAGGTGTTATCACCTTTCCACATGGTACGAATCCTCTTAGTCTAAGGTCAGAAACCCACCTCCTTTGCCTAACATGTCAAAAATCTCTTGGTCTTCATTAGGGTCCACTTGCTTCAGAATTCCCCCAAACCACCCCCAAAGTCAGAAGACCCTATACTCCCCCAACTCTACCTTTGATATATCAAAGTCGCTTGTCACAATATCAGGGTTTCCTTCATCATGGGCACAGACCAGCGTCAGCCCCAGACACAGCAGCAGCAGCTTCATCTTGGGAGGGACAATTCTGACTCAGCTACAGGTACTTGGAGTGAGTCTTTCCCTGATGGTGCCTCCACTCCCCAGATCCTCTGTCTTTATATTCATTCTGGGTCCAGTTTTTTGTTTGTTTTTTTTGTCCATGAGGCAGCACCTTTTCTCCTCCCACTCCAGGCATGGTCTGTATTCATTGATGTGACGCCAAGATTTTCCTTTCAATCTTATCGCTATTAGATCTACTTATGCCCTAAAATTAATCAAAAGGAATGCTCAAAAAAAAAAAAATAGTGGATGTCGTAAAAGGTTGCCTTTTGGAACTTGAGTTAATTGTGAAATCAGAAAGCCAGTTATGTGTGTCAGGAATGGAGTAGAACTGGGAAATAGAATGTGTGGGCAATCCATGTTTCAACAGGCACAGGGTGTGTGGAAATGGGTGAGTTACTCCATTTCAACAGCCTCAGAAACAAAGAAATTGACTCTACTAAAGATGATAGGACCTATCACAAAGCATTCAGAGAGAGTAGATTAGACTAGGGTTTAATACAATAATGTCTTGAAGGTATGGTGTCTGGTGTTCAGCACATTTTAATTCCTTTTCGTTGTTGTCTGAATTCAACCATAATAAATGAACAAACGTTTAATTACTCCATATACCATAGACCCCTAAGAGAAATGGAGAAGTAGAAGTTGTCAGGCCTTTCTTTAAACAACCTTCAATGAAGGTGGGGAAATGCTTTATATACTTACTAAACACTTCATTCTACAAGCATATGAACTAACCCAACAAAGTGGGACCAAGTCCAGAACATCGTGGGTCAGAAAAAGAGGTGATGCTGGGGAGGTGACATCATGTCGAAAGGGCTTAAGAACACAGGCTTTGAAGTCATGTAGACTGGGGTTTCAGTCCTATCTCTGTCATCTTGGAGCCAGGAGGACAAATTTAACCTCTCAGAGCCTTAGTGTCCTCTTGATGGGGATAATCGTACCTGTTGATAGATTGCTATGGGGATTTAGTGGCATGGTGTGAGAAGAACCCTCAGACTAATGTCTGACACAGCTGGGCTGGTGGAATCAGAGAATTAATCCTGGGAAGGTGGATCTTGGGGGAGGTCTTGAAGGTTAGGCAGGTGTGGGGATGTGGAGAGCATGTGGGAAGGGGATTCCTGGGGAAGGAATGTTGTGATTTAGGATCCTTTGCCTGCTGCTGGGGCTTGTTAAAAGCTATGGGTCATTCATGGCTTGTGCTAATGGTTCCCTTTTGCACCCCCCAGCTCAGAAAGAGGCCAGTATCATGGGAGGACCGGGCACAAGGCAGTGAATGCAGGAACTGTGGCATTCTATCTGCGGCCTGCTTTCCAAAGTCACCCCAGCCCCTTGTGTAATCATTCCTAGTTCATGCTCAACCAATATCCAGTCACGGGTATTTTGAGGTCTGTCTAACTTTAGGCCCCATGTGTGGGCTGTTGGCTGTCCTGCCCCTGAGACAGAGGAACTGAGCTTGACAAATGTTGGCAAAGCTGTGCACTTCATTTTGCCTAGCTCATTCTCTCCAAGAGCAGCCAGGCTTACAAGATGAACTGGGCTACAACGCTGAGGGGAGAGTCAGCTACCCTTGCTGCCCCACCATCTGTATCCCATCCCTCCAGCCTCCAAATTCTCCCCCCACATCAAAGCGCCATATCGCAAGCACCATATCTGCTTCTGGTGGTGACATCTTTCTTTTCACCTTTGTACCTACCGTAGCACCTGGTACACAGTATCACCTTGGAATGATTGTACACTAAGTCCTATATTAGAAGCTCCAGGCGTTCTTGTTTTTAGAAGGAACTTTATAGAAAATTCTTTTGTAAATGGGAATATTACTTTTGGGAATTAGGACCTCCTAATTAATATTATTGGCTCACAGGAGTAGAGAGAGAGGATAGGACTGAAGTCTGTGATCAGAAGCCTACATTATGGAAGATCTTATCTACTCAAATCTGAGTTGACTATTCCCCACCCTGATTATTCACTTCCATTTCAAATCTCCCCAGTTGTTTTGTGGTTGTTGGGGTTGTTTTTTTTTTTGGGGGGGGGGGGTGGAGGGGCGGGCAGTGTAAGCTTTGCCAGTGCCACTGGGCAAACATTGAGACAGTAAGGTCATGGCTGCACAAATACCCAAGAGCTGTGAGCCATACACCTAGGGGATTGGTGAAAGAAAACCCAGACGAAACCAAAACTGAAATAATATTAAATCATTCCTAAATGATTATTTGCTTTACAATAGGATTCTTACAATAGAAATTAAACAATACTCCTGCATTGCATTTAAATATTTGTGGTAGGAGTGTGGACTAACAGTCTAAAATTACTCTAACAACTTATAGATGACCAATAAATATCCTTGTTAAATGAATTATTGATTTTTATATTAGGGAGGATGGTAAAAGGTAGAGGTGGGGAAAGAAAAAAAAAATAGAGTAACACTTAATGTTAGCATCTCCCAGATGATAGTGTAAGTACATGGGATAAGGATTCAATTTATAAAAGTTCACTTGGCCACCCATCATCAGGGAACACCTTTGTTGTCCAACACAAGATACACAGATACAACCTCTGACTGCACAGTAACTTTGTGTGTGGTGCAGCAAGCTGCTTTAAGAGATGATGCTAAAACAGGACTTTTGAAAAATAATGATTCAACTTAATTCAACCACCATTACCAAACGCCTACTCTACACTAGGTCTGTACCGGGCACTTTGAGGGTTAAAGAGATAAATAAGATAGAGGCTGTGCCCTCCAGAAACTCCTGGTCAGTGTGAGGATGGTTTGAAAACGATCTAATTTTGAGATAGAAAGTTTTAAAAATTAAAGCCTGACCACCTAATTCCAGGTATGAAACCGGAAGAATTTTTCCCTCCAGATGAGCGGAGCCTTCCCTAAGGGACACACGCCTCAGTGGGCTCTGGGCCTCTCCTGGTCCAGTGGAGAGGGTAAGGGGGCACGGAGGTCTCCTGCAAGTAAAGGTTTGTGGAAAAATGAGTGGGAGTTGGGTTGTTCTGCCAGCCTATGGTCCCCAAGGAAACCAACTCCTTCCTGTCTGCCAGGGGACAAGCAGCACTTCTGAGGAGCCAGTCTCAACCTGCACCATCGCAGCAGGTGGACCAAGTATCCATCCTGTCTTCTGAGACCACCCTGGGGAGGTAGCCTTTGGACCTTCCCTTTTATGGTACCTAATGAATGTGGTCCTCATCGCTGTTAAGAATAGTCAACCACTCCATGGATGAGCTTCCTGGGCCCAAAATATCTACCAATATTTTAAGCACAGAGAGCTGACATTAAATCGTATTCCCACATTTTAATCATGGTAAGTGAATCCAAACTCTTGTATTACAATCAATTTGCAACAGCTACCTTTATAATTAAGGCCCTTAGACTTGAATGAACTTAGAAACAATCTGGTAATCAAAGAAAACAGGTCAAAGTCATCTTTGTTCAAGCATGAGATCCTACCATAATCCACTCACCAAGGCAAATAGTTCTAATGGGGATTTATTTTGCATCAGTACAAATGTCATCTGTCCAGGGGCCGGATATTTAAAAATAATATTTTTACTTCAGAAACAGAGTACGAACTCAGTGAATATTAGCTAACGTGCTTTGTAAATATTATTTCATATAATCCTCACAGTAGCTCTATATGATAGATGCTAGTAACCTGTTTTACAGAGGTATGAACTAAGACCCATAGAGGTTAAGTAAACTTACCAAGATCACACAACTAGTACGTGGAAAACCCATATATGAACCCAACACTGTCTAATACAAGAGGTTCTATTCTTACTGACTCTACGACATAGGTCGAAGCTTTGATGTTTCTCTCTTTTTAAAAAAATCCTCACCTAAGGATATTTTTCCATTGAGTTTTTAGAGTGGAAGAAAAGGAGGGAGGGGAAAGAGAGAGAGAGAGAGAAACATCGATGTGAGAGAGATACATTGATATGTTGTCTCTGGCACCCACCCCAACCAGGGCTGGGGATCAAACCTGCAACCCAGGTATGTGTCCTTGACCAGGAATCAACCCGATGCACCAACCACTGAGAAACACCGGCCAGGGCGAGGCTTGATGTGTCTGACACGAAGGACAGATGGAATAGGAATAAGTAATGAACCTCAGGGGTGTCTGCCTGGTAGTGGATACTAAAAAGTTGCATGTGGATTTTTCAAAAGCATGGCGCCATGGGTGTAGCTGCAAGAGTCTGATCAAGAGAAGGGCAAGTCACAACCATCTCTTGGTAAATACATATTTGGTGGGTGAATGGATGGATGAATGAGTAGGCGGGTATTGCTCTTCTAATAAGAAATTAGGAAATGCTTCCAAAAACAAAAAGCAAACGCTATTCCCTTCCATTGATGGATTTGAGTTAAGCACCTGGTCACTGACTGACCACATTAAGATTTCTTCACCCAACACCAAGTATAAGGCGTTTTATAAGTGGCCTGCAGGAAGGGTAGCAGTCTGCCAGGTGGCTGAGAGCTGGCTGTCCTAAGTCATGAATCAGTGTGTGGGTAAGGGGCTTATGGATTCCATGCATGACCAGATATATGACCCATTTATAACCAGGCAACCTGATTGAAACTAACTGCCTGGCTAGAAATGGATTTCGTGACTTTGTTTTCAATCACACTCTGAATTCAACCAACATATCACTAATTGAGAAAGCCACTGGCAGCACTCAAGCCATGTTATATAACACCAAGGCACAGTCAGTGCCAAGGAGAATAGCAAGAAGCAAAAGCTTGTTTGGTTCTTGTGCCAGAGTGGAAGTATGGTTTGGTCCCCAGCACCCATGATGCTTCTGCATCCTGCTGGTACTGGCTCAAAGCCAGTTCTAAAATATCCCCTTCCTTCACCCATGAAAGGTTGCTTAAAACTAACAACAAACACGTCTCATCTGTGTCAGCTGGGTCTTGGGGAAAGCAGGCGCTGAGACACATTTAGGAGTGTAAAGGGTTTATTGAGGTGTAACACTTATGAAAGGGAAAAGGAGGAAGCAGGATTAGGGAAGGGGAGTGGCC